AAATGAGTACAGCTCTGAAGAATATTCGAACGAGTCGTAACATGATCTTCCCTCCAGGTATCTTCATGCGATCCTCAATCTCAAGCGAGCCAAGGGATGATCCCTATGATGTTTGATGGACGAGCTGTAAATATCAAGGAAGGATCCGAGTTTGGCTCATTTCGGCCGATGTTCACAGAAGTTTGGTAAACACGAAATTAAACGAAAGTTAGCAATATTTTAGTCAATGTATCTCAGATTCACTCTAATATGGGCTACAATGTTCCTATTAATTGAGTGAAGTTGTGCTTGCATCACAGTAGCATAATAAATATTCCATTTGACACTATTTTCTGTATGACAGCAGACTCCTTTCTTTTGAACTTCATCCACTTCTTAATTACTGGCAAATCAACAGCCATCTCTTCCCATAACTCTCATTACAATCTGTGTTTTGTACAACACTTTCACCGGGCTGCACGAATCTACATTAAACACCAAAATTCCAGATAGTCTAAGTGCAGGTGTTTATGTGTTTGCTTTCGTCTACAACTTGTACTATCACTGTGCAGGTGAAAGTGCATCCACACCAGGCAGAACCTTTCCTAAAAATTTCAGAATAATTTTGTTTCTCCTAAGCCTACAACATGCCTTCAAGCAACTCCAAACTTGCTCCACCACCAGTGGAAACGTGACTGACTTTATCTTCTGTTTTGAATTTTTTGCAAGCTGTGGCAGTATCACCACCTCCTGAAATCCAAGTATTCCAGAAGGGTTTTTGATTAAATACTCTGACTTACCAATAATGGTAGTTGCTCCATCTGTTGTTGCTTTCACTACCGCATCCATCACAGCCTTAGTGCCATGAGCGAACTTCTCGTGCTCAAACACTCCTGGAGGGCCATTCCAGACAATCGTCTTTGCTCTGGCAATTACTTCAGCATACTTCTCCTCGGATTTAGGGCCTATGTCCAATCCCATTTGATCTAAATCCGGGAAAGGTTGCAGTTCTTAGGCTTATTACTTTTGATTTTTGTCTTTGCGCATCCTCTCACCAATC